CCTCCCCCCTCCTCCCCCCTCCCCAACCTCTCTTCTCCCAACCAAACCCTCTTTTACAAACGAACCTCCCAGCTGATGGTACCCCTATAACATTATATCAATGTTGAAATCTCCGAGCAAGAGACTCAATTCTTTTTGAAGATGCCGCCACCTGTCTATAGGAAGGTATCTTATTCAGGTGGAGAGATTATTAAGGCCAGGGTACTCCCCCCCTCCCACCCACCTCTTCCCCAATCACCAGACCTTGTCTCCAAATAAGATCACTCGGGCTTCAAACCCACCAACCCACCCACCCATCACCGACCCATAATCATGATTACATCAACCCATGCGAAGAAGAGATGACATTCCTACATGCTTTCGTAAGCGCTTGTTTGAAAAGGACTGCTGCACTTACTGAATACGAATATATAATACATGTTATAACAACGGGGAATCCTTTTTCTTTCCGAAGTGTTTACCACGTACCTCGACCTTGAAAAGATAATTAAATAATATGCAGACACTCCTTTACAACGATGTTTCTTCTTTCCTATCAAACATCCATTATCTTCATCTCTTCTTTTTTTGTGTTCATTACTCTCTTATTGTGTTGCAAGTGCCGTAAAACTCTTACTAAATCTAAAAGATGTTTTCAAAGGATAAATAAATGTTTCCAGATTGAAAGTAATATGAAACGTGCCAAGGTAACACTCTCTCGGACTGATGCACCATGATTCTTATCTCCAACAAATCGTCCATTTGATGTTCTAATCTACCGAAATCATGGTTTTGACTTCTAAGATTGGTGAATGCGATTGGCAGTGTGAGGGAACGAAACATTCATTAGTGAGACATCGTGGTGAAATCAGGCGCTCGTCAAAATCAGGAAATCAAAGAAATTGGCCTTTTCGGGCTGTTGGGTAATCTTGTTTTGCTAATTGTGAGGCAGCGTGGTGGAATCAGACTCTCGTCAAAATAATCAAAGTGAAGAAACCTGCTTTTTTCCGCAGGTCTGTGAATTGTAATAAAATTTTTGTTTTTTGGCTCAACACCTTTCATGCCAATTAAAGAACTCATTTCTGGGTGGATTTTCCTGAAAAACGTTAATTAAAGGCACAAAATATGGACATTTTCAGTTACCACGGACTCTTAAGCTTAGGAAATAACTAATCTTTGGCAGCCATTTTCTCACTAACTTTTCGTCTGAAAACAGGTGACCCCCACCTCCTTCTTTTGCAAATATCTCGACTTGTATTCGGGATGAATTGACATTTTTTTCATCCAAATAAAGACAAGTGAACAAGCTTTAAGATGATACCAATAACTCTACATGCCCCCAAATTGACGAGAGCCTGATTCCACCACGCTGCATCACAATAAAAAAAATTTTTTTTTGGCTCAAAACCTTTTACATCCGTTTAAAAACACTTTTCTGTGTGAATTTTTATTGACAAATATTGTTTAAAGGCACACAAAATTTAATTTAAATTTTCATTTTTCAAGCACTCTCAAGCTTTAGAAGTTAAACAAACTTTGACAGCCCTTTTCTCGTTATTTTTATCAATCAAACCAGGAGACCCTGACCTCATTTAATCACAACTATCTCGATTTGTATTCCAGATAGATAGGTGTTGGTTTCATTGAAAGCAATTGCATAAGCTTTCAGATGACACCAATAACTCCACATGCCTAAAACTTGACGAGCGCGTCATTCCACCGTGTCCTGACACATTTCTCAGACTTTGACAGACAGAGGGGCTCTCTTCTGTAGCGACAGGTCGGGCTCAGAAGGTTTGATCTTGTTCGTCAAGTTTCAAACTTTTATTTCCTGTCGTACCGACAGCAAACTTGTTACATTTCTTAAAATAGGCTTACCAATTAATCCTGAACCATTTCGGAACTGCAAG